AATTATTATCCAACTCTTACTGAGGGGGGGCAGTACCCAAAGTCTAGGGTTCAGGGTTTAGGGATACAGCCGGATTTCTGTCAAACGCTGTTCTCAGATCCTGTTGTAAGTCTTTTCCACAGGGTTTCAAAGATTTCTCAGCCTTGCTAACAGCACGGCGTGAATGTGAAGATACATTCGCCTGGCCATGCAGGTGTTTCTCCAAAACGGGTATTCTAAGGGCCCTAAGGATATTATAGTAAGTTGGGATTATAAGATGGGCTTGAGGGCCGCCTTGATGGATGTCAGCGGGTGTATTTCAAAAAGCTTAACAATCTGAAGCCCATGATCCCCAAAAATCAAGAGTAGGCACCCCCGGGAACATACTTGCTGAGATCATGAGGATGGAGATTTCCAACAGGGACCAGCACCTCCAGACGGGAGGGTTTAAGAGTAAAAATCCCAGGAAACCTTCCCGAAGGCAACCTTCAAGCCCTGTTGATGCAACACAACTTGAAGCACTCTAGCCCCCTAAGCCCTAAACAGCTTGGGTAACCCTAGGTACCCTCTACTTCGTCTGTTCCCCCAACGACCCTAAGCCCGAAACCTCCAAACTTGAACCTATACAGTAGTCCCTATCTATATGATCCCTATATAGCCAGTATAAACCCCTTGCGGTTCCCTTGGTAACCCTAAAACCCAACCCCCTAAATCCTAAACTTCAAACCCTAAACCCCTAAACCCAAAACTCCCAACCCTAAACCCGTAGACCCTGAGCCCCTAAACTGTAAACTCACTCTTAACCCTAAACCCTGAACCCCTAAACCCTAAACTCCTGAAACCCCAAACCCTAAGCTTGGGGCGAGCCAGGCCTAGCCAACATGAGGCAGAGCAGAGGCCTTTGACTGAGATCCACACAATTTGGGGTTTACTTGGAGATACTTGGAGGTTCGTGGTTTAGGATTTATTACCATTACGTAGGGTTTGGGTGGTCATTTTGAGTTTGGAATTTTAAGATGAAGGACATTTGAAGGGCCCCTCAGTAATCGTAACGCTTTTTCTCATCCTTAGGGTTTAGGGTTTAGGGAGGTTCATGGGACTCAAATGTACATATAGCTGGGACTATAACCCTACTTGGGGCAATCCGCAACCCCTTATAAGGCCATGTAGGAGGAGTGTAGGTAGTGACTAAGTCATCTAAACCATAAACCCTAAGTCCCATGATTCTCCAAGTAGGGTTTAGGATTCAACCTTTAGGGTTTGGGGTTCGTTGTATATTGCTACATGACCCCCAAAAGGCGCTAACAGCAGGCCCCTTATACCCTGGAAGTTGGTTTTTCATACTCTCCCAGATGCCCTAAACCCTAAACCTGAAACCCTTAACCCCGCTTGGGACCCGGGGGATACGACGGGAAGCCTCCCAACCCAAACTTGTTAGCCCAAGGCTAAGTTGGTTTAGGTTTAGAGGTTTGAGGGCAGCACATGTGCTGTAAACCCAAATCTCTCTAAAGCAGCGTCTTGTTCCTCCTATGTTCCCGCCACATTTTGCCCTTGCAGACCCTCCCCGGACTTAAAGGAGTCTGCGCCGCTTTCAGAAACTTCCAGCCAGAACCCAGATCCAGTGCTCTGGGCGTACATGTTCGGGTTCATGGTGTAGGGTTGAGGGTTGCAGCTGCGGGCTGTCAAAAGGGCCGTATATGGAGCATTTCGCGCGCAGGCACATCCCGAGTCTTGTCATTGGACATAAACGGCATAGCCGATAGGAACTTGAGAGCCACTGCGGAGGCGCTGCAGAGGCTGCTGGAGCATGACGCTGTCACGCAGGTGGTGTTCACGTTGTGCGCCGCGAAACCCGACACCCGAAGCTGGGCTACCTCCAATATTGAGGAGGCAATCTCCTTTTGGACTCGTCTGGATTTGCAACCCCGCATGCCTATTTCCCTCTTCACTTCACATCGGCCAAACATTACAAAGGAGGCAGAGCCGATACTCGTCTATCACGTGGATGACACGGAAGTGATAACAACTGATATTGTGAACCTCAAGTACCACTGGGTTCTCTTTGGAGTATTTTGAACTTAGATGGCCATTTCCTCGTAGAGTGCTGCTTTGCGATGTAACTATTTCCTAATTACTGTTGATAAGCAGACGCCTACATTGCGCTGACCACCCTAAAATTCCAAACCCTAAACCCTAAACCTAAACCCCATAATTTCTCTAGACCCTAAACGCTCTAAACCCCATAAAAACCATAAAACCCTCATCCTATACTATAAACCCCATAATTTATCTAAACCCAACCTGGCACAACCCTGACCCTTGGTTTGGTTCCCTATGTCCTTAGGGTTTTAGGATTTAGGTGATTAGGGTTTAGGGTTTAGGGTTTTAGGGTTTAGGGTTGAGGATTTTAGGGTTTAGGGTTTAGGGTCAGGGTTTTTCTGGTTAGATTTGAGGTTGAAATCTCGGGTTTGGGGGAGCCCTCGCAAGGGACAATCGTACCAATATAGAGGGGTATATATGGAGTATGAACCCCAAACCCCAAACCCCATAGATTCACACTATGTGCTGTGCCCCACCTCTGAATCCCACCCTGAATGCGTAGGAGTTAAAACGGACCTCTTCTTTTGATCTCTTCTAGAACTATCTCCGAAATCCTGGAAGCAGCCGTTGGATGCTTTGAACGTGCTTGAAAGTCGCCCGCGGTACCTTAAGTTGTTGAATGACTTTACGGGTTTGTGGCCCTAAGCCCTAAATTTGAAAAGGTCGCGCGAGCTATAGTCTCAACTCCATAAAGGTGAGTAAGATAGTGCATTATATAGGGGATTTTTCTAGGGGCTATTAAGGGGGATACTAGGGGTTTACACTAAAGGTCAGGTGATCTCAGGACTCGCTTGTGTCCAACAAGGCAGACTTTTTAGACTTGCAAGTCTGCTTGAGTAATCACTCGTTTTGGGGATTACATCCCCAGAACTGTAGTCTAGTTAGAAAATACTTTTGACTTTTATTATAGTATAGCCCTAAGGAATTATTAGGAGCGTTATTCTTATTATAGGTCTAAGGAGACGGCTGATAATGGAGAATCAAATGGAAAGCATTGAAAATGAAGTGGAAACTACTAATCGGGGATCAAAAGTAGTAGTGGTAGTAGTTGTAGGAGTCAGAGTAAGTGGTTTAGGGCTTTGGTAGGAAAACGGAGCTTCAAATCGAAAGTCAAGTCGAAATTGACATGGAACTGTTGTAATACGCGGGCTATAAAAGCATCCCGCCACCAAATATTAAGCCACCACACCCATCCCTGATTATAGATGAGCTACGGGCTACGGACTAAATTTAGGTTGGGGGGACCTATAGGGGACTGTATACGGTTTTGGGGGGACCTATTGAGGGATATATTACAAATTTAGCGCAGGGCTCAGACATTCCCAAAATCTGCCTCGATACGACATTGGGCATGTTCATTTTCGCGGGTGGAGGGTGTCGAAGTGAAGGGGTAGTAACTCAAACAGGGACATATAATATTGGGGTTATAATGGGATAATGGAAAAGAAAATGGAAACTACTATAATATTGGGGTTAAATTGGGACAATGGAAAATATAATGGAAACTACTAAAAGGCTGCATTCCCCCAATCCCAAAGCAGTAGTACTCGCTTGTAGCATGGCAGCGACCGAACCTAAATCCCAACGCCTCGATCCAGGTAGCCCCAATTCTAAAAGCATTTGGACGTTTAGATCATCCCAACATGTTTCCCGCGGTTGACCCCAGAAATTAGGTTCGGCACCCATACAGTCGCAGTGGCCACTATCCTTTGTGTTCACCATTCCTGGGGGGGCTTATCCTAACCCATATTCGCCACAATCCCCTTGTGGTCCTAGAGTCCACAAGATACCCATTTTGCGATCACAAGTTCAGCCCGCCACCCTCCCCACCTAAATCCTAACCCCCATTTGGTAGTTTTTTTCAAAACAAGGGGACTCCAATATAGACCCCAATATAAAATAATCCTTATTACGGGGACCCCCAAAAAGGTACCCCCCTAATATTAGGAAACTCCGATTTCCCCACCGGACACTATTACTTGGCTAGGGGGCGACCTCCGGGGCATCCACTAGGAGGCTGAGTTTGGGAAGCAGCTGGATAGGCAGTAGGGTTTAGGTCTTAAGGATTTAGGGTTTAGGTTCAAGGGAAGGGTCTAGATAGGGCTTCTAGGAGTCCATGAAGACATGTGCGGGAAGACGAGTTTAGGACTTAGGGTTCAGGATCTAGGAATTAGGCTTCATAATAGCAAAGAAACAGGAAACTGCGATAGTCTATTGGGGTTATATTGGGATACCGGAAAGAAAATGGAAACTACTATAGTATATTGGGGTTATATCAGGATTTTTATTCGAGCGTTAGAAAACTGGCGTGATCTTTCATGAGCACCTGCTCCTTTGAGCTGTCATGCAGTCATCACCTTTGTTAATACTAGCTGGTTGACTTTTGAAGGTTGTCATGGTGCTCCGCATGAAGCACTTTGCTGCGGCAATGTTTCGGGTTTCCTGCCATACTACCAGCCTAGGGCTGTGTGCACATTTCCAAAACCGAGATCAATGAGGTACCAGACCGCATGTTGTAGGACCACGCAGGAAGTATCCTTGCAATAGACCTCAGAACATGTGTCAAGAAACATTCAATCGTGTCAGGGGCCGCTGCGACATGAATAGGTTGCATCCTTAGGGCAACAGGAATCTGTGTCTTTTGCTTGAATTTAATGGTAGTGGAGGCAAGTGGTATGCTTATCCTTGTACGGAAGATTTTCATAAACTGTGTTTCTTCTTCAGTCTCTTCAGGGACCTAGTTGAAAAGTGATGAAGCTGACAATCAAGGTACTCTTCGTTGGGAATGGACATTGCTGGATGGGGGAGGGAGGGAGAGAGAGAGAGTTAGTAGACATATTTGCTGGGCAGTTGCCTTGCTGAATAGGGGTTCCGCTACAAGACTTACTACGGGTTTGGATCCAGCTGCCTCTGTGTTTTGATGGGTCCATTTGGTTGGGTGCATTCATTGGGATGCATTGCTTACCACATTGGTATTGCAGCTACAAGAAAGTCCAGCATTGCAGAGATCAATGCTGTTGGGTTAGCCCTTTGGGATGTTTAGATATTCCCCCTTCTTGACTTCGTAAGGACCCTCCCTAAACCCTAAGCCCTAAGCCCTAAACCCTATCCAAAGGGATCAAGGGCCAACCAATGTTGAATAGTGATTACCCAAGGGGTCTAGAAATGATGATCATAGTATATTAGGGTCTATATTGGGGTCCCCCCATTTTGGGAAACTACCATTTAAGTTCCTTAACGGCAACCCAGATAGAACTAATTTCCGACCAAACGGATTTTTTTCAAAGAGCAATTCCGGAATAGAGCGAACCGTTGTCACTTGCGGAGTCATAACGATGCAGAAGCAGAATATTGGAGGTAATTGAACCGGATACCGTAGAGTCCTGCGTTGTGAATTCCTCCAGACATTCTCTCTGACAGCTTTTCCCAAATTCCAAATTTAATTTGTTGAACCTTTATCAAATTCATTTAGAATCGTCACTTGTTTGGTGGCAGGAGGGCGCGTTTTAATCGGAATCCTGCTATATGCTGAACACTGGACTTGGCAAACAGCGATTCTCCTAAACCCCGAAACCCTAAACCACACGGAGGTTCCCTCATCGAGAAGGAGAAGAACCGCTACATGTGCCTGCCGCAGGACAAATGGGTAGCGGTAGTATTCATTAGCATTAGGGTCTAGGGTTTTAGGGAGCCCCAAAATAGAACCCAACATACTTTTCACCTAATTCGAGGGATCTCTAAAAATGGTGCCCCTAATTGTAGGAACCTCTCACATCAACCCCTAAACCTCAAAGTTCGCGCTCCATTCGATTTCCATGCGGTCGTGTGATAACCTGAAATAATCTCTCGGTTTAGGGTATAGGGTTTAGCGTTTCGAGTTGATATACACGACAGCCAACGCATTCTGAAGAATGCGTATCTCGGAAATTCTGGATCCAGGTGTAACAGTAGGCAAAGCATTGGCATGCAACCAGCAGGTCTCTTTGTTTCTGGCGGAGGACTGCAAGAACTGAACTCTTCTAGGGCTCGTGAAAATGAAGCTAAGCACGATTTTCAGGACACCAGTATTATCACTACTACTATTCCTATTGCCATTAAAAAGAATACAAGCACTGCCACTACTACCGCTACCAAAATCACCCCAAGCCCTAATTAGTCCCAAAACTTTAAACACGCAATTGTTACTGGGACAAGATGCAAGTAGTTTTCAAAATTTCATCATACTGAATAATACCAATACGGAACAATTACGAGTTATGTTTTCGAACTGTATCCCAGAAAGAAACAGGTTATACGGATCAGCAGCAGGTCTTTGACTGGGCCGACGACGTGCCGCGCGGACAGCGAAAATCGCGGTCGCCCCAACGCTGTGGCCTCGGTTGGGGTGGCAGGGGGCATAGTGGTTATATAGGGGTTCTTGAAATTGTTTTTGGAGATGATGTAAGGATGTATATATATATGAGATTTACAAGGTCTGTGTGGTGAGTAATGGAAAATCCAATGGCAAAGCAAATCGAACATGAAATTGGAACCGGCCTTGTTTGAGGTTTAATGATAATGTTCTTGGAGAGTCAGGCGGACTTGGTAGGGAATGGACAAAAAAGGAAAACATTGTATTGTTTAGGATCTAGGGTTTCGGGTTCTACGAGGGAATAGAAACAAGAAAATGGCAACTTCTACTGTGATGTTTGGGGTTTAGTGTCAGCCGGACTTACTGTCGAAAGTAGGAAATTGATCGTCATATCTGGACTTGTGCCATCTATGGCTCAGGGTTTAGGGTTCGGGTTTGTAAGTCTAGCAACCGCCCCAGCAGGATCAGGCAAGTAGCTCCTTCTAAACTCTAAACCCTAAACCGGTTGACAACTTAGAGGGCTTTGGGCTCGGGACTTGGAGCTCAGGGTTTAGGACCCGAAATTTGGGGTGTAGGCTTTACCTAGACTCTCCAAGGTAGTACCGTTTTTGGTAGTCCTAATAAGAGCCCTAGCCAAAAACCTTACCAAACCAAAGAAGGAGCCACATTGGAGGGTCCAGGTAGGGTAGGGTTGGAGTACCTACGAAGGATCGCTCCGGCCATTCCCCCAAAAAGGGATTCTTTAGGGGTGATTCTGGCAAACTAAAGCTAATTAAGGGGTCGGGCAATACAGGGATTATATAGGGTCTATATATAGGGATATTAACCCCAAACTTAATCAAATGGACAGCAATGGATACTCGTGTGAAAACTTGGGCTTGTATGTTGGGAGACGCTTATTGTAGACATTTCCCAAGATTAGCAAAGTATAAGTGCCTATGTTTTGGTTGCTACCAAACTAAGAATCTGTGCACTAGTTCCTGTCCAATTTGGGACTCTGTAAACCCTAAACTGACAGGTGGGGTTTAAACCCCAAACCCCAAACCCCACACGGGGTACCCTAAACCCTATACCCAGGGTTATTCATCGTGGGGATTTTAGCATACTGCCCTCTATTTGGGGTCCCCCAAGAACAGCTTTCCTCTTTACCTGTAATTGCAAGGTGGGGTGGGTTTAGGGATTTTCGATCGCAAAGGAACAGTATCCTCAGCTAGCAGCACAAAAACAGAATGCAGACGCAAATTTCTGCGACGGCGCCTGTGTTTCATAGATTTTGACGCCATTTCAATTTCTCAAAACAACGAATTGCCTCATCTTGCCCGGGACCTCAAACCTCCAAAGCTGGCGTCCTATAAGCCCCCCGAACCCTAAACTAAACCCTAAGAACCTAAACTGTAAACGCCCTGAACCCCAAACCCTAAACCCCTGAACTCTAAAACCCTTAACCCCAAACCCCCTGAACCCTAAACCCTGGAGCCCCTCACTGCCACCCCAACATTTCCCCACTGCAATCTCCCAACTGGATAGTGTTTTCTATGGGGATACGGTAGTCCCTAACGGAGAGTAGGGATTGCGATTTTGGGGCAGTAGGGATTTAGGGTTTAGGGATTAGGGTTGTGAGATCTAGGGCTTAGGGCAGACAGTAAGATGCCATCCTCCGTTTGAGTCAAGTACTGTGTAAGAAGCATATAACCTCATCAAAAAGCATTACTCAACCAACCCTGCAGAAAAACCCTAAACCCTAAACCCCTAGCCCCTAAACCCTAAACCCTCAACAATGTGCGCCTGACAGGCCATAGTGACTTCCTGCAGGCCCCAGCCTTACTAAAACCAACGGGTTTAGGGTTTAGGGTTTAGGGTTTAGGGTAATTCTGAAAAAACAAAACAACAGCGCCGAAGATGTCCCAGACTCCCAAGCCCCAAGCTCCAGACATCTAATGCAACCAGCAGTCAGCACACATTGACACTTCCTGACCCCGACACTTGAAATCTACTGTGACAACCCCTAGCCTTGCATACTTAGTTATATGTAAAAAGGCTTGAATGAGTACAAATATTCTGGTCCTAGATTCTTTGTATCGTCTTAGTATACGGTACTTCAAATAAACCTCAACTTTGTGTTGGTAATCATTTAGGCCCTCGTAATACTTTACAGGTACCCTTAGGGCCGCCTAGAAGGCTCCTGAAAGGGCTGAGGGACCCATATGGGGGTTTCCCAAAAATAGGGTACCATTTTGGGGGTCCCCATAATAAGGATATAGTATTTGGGGGTCTACATTGGGGCCCCCTTATTTTGGGAAACTACCATATTAGAATCTTAGCAACTTAGACCAAACGCTGCAATAATAGCTCGATCTTACACCAGTGCTGCAGGTGTCAGCTTCAAGACGGATCAGGACATGAGTTCTGGGGTTTGGGAGTTTACGTTTAGCTTCGCAGGTCAGGTGCTGAAGGGTTTAATTAGGGTTTAGGACGGAAAGGCGGACCCTGCAAAAGGACGGTCTATTCCTAAGACACCCTTTTAAGCGTCAGTTGGTGAATGGAGAAGTCTTGCCCATGACTTACAGTATATTTTAGGAGGACCCCCCACCCTGTAACAGTGGTATAATGAGAATATAAGAGGACCCTAATATAATCCCTATCATGCCTTTTAGTCACTATTACTGGGTGGGGGGTCCACCTGAAGGGGTTCCCAAGTGGTGCAAGATTTCCGTATGTTACTTTTCGGGAGGGTAAGGTGTGAAACCCTAAACCCTAAACCAAACCCTAAACCAAACCCTAAACCCTAAAAACTAAACCAACCCTAAACCCTAAACCCAAAAGTGAGTTTTTGGAGGGTTTGGGGTGGTTCTGAGCTGAAAGCCGGCCTTGCTTTGAACTTGCGAGGATTAGAAAATGCTTTAGGTTTATAGTCCCCCTTAAGTAGATAGAATATGGTTTTGGGTATAGTGTAATAAGGTCCCCTTATACACCATATTCTATCTACTTAAGGGGGACTATAAGGGTTTGAGGGTTATGGTTGTAATTAGGGCTTACTAAGCCCAGACCCTAAACCCTTTTGATTGAACCGTTTGTAATCGCGCATCCCTAAGACTTGGTTGGAGAAAGCTCCAAAATACTGCTGTCGATGAGGGCCATAATTGGATGATCAATTGGGATGTAACTCGGCTTCATAAACACGAATGACATTCTAAACTGACTGGTGGCTAATATATGCCCTTATCCCCTACTAACCACTGATAAGGGAACTTTGGTACCCCCCCCCCCCAAAAAAAAANNAGGACCCTACAACCATCATATGATGGTCATAGGGTCCTAATTATGGGGTTGGGGTAAACAAAATCCCCTTATTAACCACCAGTGAGTAAATTAGGGCTCAATCCGCCCAAGCCCGTGTGAACCCCGTGGCAGGACGAGCGGCCGCGGTCTTTACAGCGCCCCGTGTGGATCCCAAGGTTGTTCCAAAATCACACCGTGCCACATGAGCCATAGTCTAAACTCCTTAAAGGGGTTATAGAGGGGATTATATAGGCATCTACTATAGGGGTTATTAAGGGGACTACTAGGAGTTTAGACTATAGCTCACATGGTGTAGAGTCTGGGGCTTTGGGGGAGGGGTGTGGTAAGATTAAGGGCTAAAGGTTTAGGATATGGGCTTTACGGTTTGGGATTTAGGGCTGAGGGCGCCAATTTCAGCCTCAGGTCTCGGGGCTCAGATCGTCAGAAGGAGTTCAGATCGTCAGAAAGAGTTCAGATCGTCAGAAAGAGTTTCGAATCGAGATGTCGTGCAGTGCACTTGTTTATTTTCCCGTGACATGAAGCGCCCTCCCCCATGTTACAAAGATGTGGCGCAGCGTGTCCGCTTGGGAGAGCTTCATAGGTCAGACTTCTTATAGGGGTTATCTGGGGGATTAAATAGGGATCCCAATACAGGGCTTATATACATAATGTCGATACACGGAGTTTTCTATAGCTCATATGGTAGTTTCAAAATATGGGGACCCCAATATGAACCCCAATATACTAGAATCCTTATTATGGGGACCCCTAAAATGGTACCCCTATTTTTGGGAAACCCTAAACCCCTAAACCCTAAACCCTATTTTGGGAAGCCCCCATATGACAGCAAGGCGACTTAATTGGATTTGATCACTGCCTGAGGCAACAGGCTACATTCGCCAAACGCCACCAGAGCCGAGAGCTCAGCCTTGGCAAGCTGTTCGGTTTAGGGTTTAGGATTTAGGATTTAGGGTTTAGGGTGTAGGGACCCAAGCCCCAAAATTGGGACCCTCTAGTTGCCACATGAGCTACAGTCAATATTAGCTTGTTCAGGAACCCTTAATAATGGACATCGGGGTCCCTCTTGCAGTTTATTATGGTCCCGCACCCATGTCCATTAAATTATACAGGGAGTTGTTAGCTGTAGCTCACATGGGTATAGAAGGGTCCTTATCATGGCGGCCGGGGTTACCTAATCCCTCTTATTGCCATTAAGGTTCAGGCTTTGGGGGTTTAGATTCAAGGAGCTCAAGGTGTAGTCATCTAAGGTTTTGGGGTTCTTAAGGGGATGGCTTAGTACAAGCTTTAGGTACATTGGGGGGCCTTTTCAACTGGGTTTCTAAGGGATTCGTGTCTTTTGAAGTGAGGTCTGTAGGGTTTGGTTGGTTTTAGGGTTTAGGGTTAGGATGCGAGCTGCGCAGTCTAGTGGCGGAAATGATTGCAGGTGTGTCGTATTGGCAGGGCCAGCCAGGGCAAGGGGATGAGGTTGGTTGGCTTTGCCTACTGGTGGTTCCTAGGGAATAAAAGAGTATATAATCCCTATGTACGACCAATATTACTCTTATTCCCTAGTAACCCTAAACCCTGAAGCCTGTATGTATACATATATATATACACACTTAACCACTATGTATATTCTCTTGTGCCCTACTAAGTTTGGGGTTGTGAGAGTCTCGCAGTTATGGCGCACCTTGCATGTTCTTTCAGGAGCCTTGACCATCTAGGCCCCTAAGCCCTGAACTTTACCGGGGGTTAGTTACTAGGGAATACGGGAGTTAGTAGGGACTAAGGGAATATAATCTAGGGTTCAGGGTTGATATTATGCGAGTTTGGGGTATTGGGGTGCGATGCAGGACCCAGCCGCGGCTTCCGGGTCGCACACCTTATTTGCCTCAGAATCTAAACTCCTCAAAGGGGCTTATCTAAGGGATTATGTAGGGGACTACTGTAGGGGTTATTCAGGGGTATACTAGGAGTTTAGACTATGGCTCACTTAAGCTTACCTCCGTCTTGACCTGCGGTTCTTTCCTGCAGCCGGCATTATAATGAACCACAAAATCCAGTTTCAAGTTCATTTTCCATCTTCCTTTGAAGCTCAGCGACCTTCGCCTCAGGGCCCACGACATTTATGGTCCCGACGGTCGGCGGCTAGATTCACAACTTGCATCTTACAGATAAAAACACAGGCTTCATGTGAGCTATAGTCTCAACTCCTTAAGGGGGGGTATATATGGGATTATGTAGCGGAGTATTATAGGGTGTACTACGGGGGATACTAGGAGTTTGGACCCTAAACCCTAAACCCCATACTAGGGGTTACTAAGGGGGATACTAGGGGTTTAGACTATAGATGGAATCATATGATTCATGTAGCCCCCGAAAATGAGGCATCCTAAACCTGAATCCTTAAACCCTAAGCCCTAAACTATGGGGCTTATATAGAGTTTCTATAGGAATTATAGGGAATATATTGGGGTAATATTGAATAATGGAAAAGAAAATGGAAACCACTATTTAGGATTTAGGGTTTAGGGTTATGGCAGGGCTTCTTTTTAGGGGAGGGCCCCTATCAACCCCTGGACAAGAGGGGCCGGTGGCAGTTTCTTGGGTGGTAAGCAGGCGATTGGAGCAGAGTTGTGTTGGATGTGTTAGGTTGACAGCAGAACTTTAGCAAATTCAATTCAATCTTACGGCTTTCAAGAGTGAATATGGAATCTGCAGGATCCTGAATTCTCATGGCGCACCCAACGGAATTTTCACATTTTCAAGACTGAGATATCTAGTAGATATGGTTTCAAGTTCTCAAATAACAGTACCTCAATATACGGCGCGGCCGCTTTGTGGGCATGTCGCTTGCACGGGGCTTAGCTTTTCCGGCTCTCCATTGAAATTTTTTGTGCGGGCTCCCTAGGAGCTCTAAAATTCCCAAAGTTTTATGGCCGTTCAGAAAAGCTAGAGGCTCTAAAGTCTCCGAGATTTTTCGTCCGGGTGGGGCGGCCAAAAATCTCGCAGTATTTTGGTCGTGCGCCCCCACCCTGTTGCATGACGATTCAAGCAACTTTTAGAAGGGACTAAGGTCCGAGAAATGTTCAGCCTTCTCTAACCTCAGCCAGGCACTCCGCAGCAGCCACCACCACAGACCTGCATAGATCTGTCGGTCCAACTAGCAGTCTATGGGTCTATCGGTGAGTCGGAATGACGGTCAATCAGTCAGGGTGTTGGTCTGTCAATCTCTCTTTCTTTCGGTCCGTCGTTCTGATGGTCTGTCAGTCTCACGGTATGTCTGTGCATGAGTCTGACATTTGATCTATCTATTTATCAATCTGAATAGCGAGATATAGCTCAATAATACGGCGCGGCCACTTGCGGCCATTTCGCTCGCGCGCGGCCTAGCTTCTCCGGCTCACCTTTAAAATGCCTCCTGAGGCCCCCTAGGGGCTCTAAAATCTCGGAGATTTTGGAGCCCTTCGAAAAAGCTAGAGGCCCTAAAATCTCCGAGATTTTTGGTGCGGGCGGCGCGACCAAAAATCTCGGAGATTTTTGGTCGCACGGCCGTTGCCTTGGGAGCCGTCTTCCACCTGATTCATATCTCTTTGGCTGTCTGCGCGGTGGAGCGCATAAACCCAGGACGGAGAACCAAAATCTGTCCGAATTTATAGGTTGGCCGTGTCTGTCCACGAGGATTTATGCGTTCCCCCGAGTCGCCGCGCAGATAGTCCAAGAGAGATAAATGAGGCGGAAAGACCGGGCCGGATGCGGGGGCCGCGCGACCAAAAATCTCCCGACATTTCGAACCATTTCTCTCTCTTTGGCTGTCTGCGCGGCGGCTCGGTGGAACGTGTAGACCAGGGGCGGAGATCCAAAATCTTTCAGAATCTATAGGTTGACCGTGTTTGTCACGTGCGGTCGCATATATTGATTGTTCAACGGAATTCGCGTGCCATCTTATTTGATCCGCGTGATTTATCTCTTTGGCTACCTGTGCGGCTACTCGGCGGAGTTCATAGACCCAGGACGGAGAATTAAAATCTTTCAGAATTCACAGGTTGCCCGTGTCTGTCCACGAGGATTTATGCGCTCTCCCGAGCCGTCGCGCAGATAGTCCAAGAGAGATAAATGAGGCGGAAAGACCGGGCCGGATGCGGGGGCTGCGCGGCTAAAGATCTCCCGACATTTCGAACCATTTCTCCCTCTTTGGCTGTCTGCGCGGCTTCGGTGTAACGTATCCGAGGCAGAGATCTAAAATCTTTCAGAATCTATAGCTTGGCCGTTTTTGTCACGTGCGGTCTTACCTGTTGATTATTCATTGGGCTTCACGTGCGATCTTATACGTTGCTCGCTCAACGGGCTTCTCATTATAGGTACTCTCAAACAAATATTACCCGCTGCTGTAGGCAGCGGGTCAACGCTAGTTTCTTGTTGATCGGAAATATAAGATATAGATTAGATTTTGATGTAAAGCCTATAAATTCTATATATCTTTTTGTGGATTTTTATCTTTTCAACGATCTAGATCGATTCGTTTCAAAAATAATTGGATTCGATAGATTCAAAAGTTCTGGTTTTTTGAATATGGTCGGATTCTTTTATTTATGATATTAATTTGAATGATGATATTATAAGATGATTATGACTTGAATTTATATGATGATATAAGATTTTTATGATATGATCTCTATCTTAAAAAAATACATATTATCTTTTCTTGTTTTCTATTTTTCTGCGAGAAATCATTTCTTTACATATAGAGATATTTCTATCTAATTGATATAATATCTATATTGATTCTGTTGTATTTTGATCATATTATATTCAGAAGATAGATATATTGATTTATCATTCATTTATATCTAATCATTTATTTAATTGAATGATTATATCGATTTATTTATATATGATTTCTTATTATTTTATATTATTGATTATTTATTCGTGTATTATGTTCTATTAATTTATTTGATATATATAGTTCTATCTATATGCTCATTTTTTTATTT